AGGAAGACATGTGGAACTATGGATTCAAGTTTGGTGTCAATCGGACATACCAATATGGAGAAATGCTCCACTTCCTGTTTTGACCAAAATGTACAGGAAGTAATAATTTTATAACAGGCTTATTTTTTGAAATATCAAAATTCTTCGAATTACTTTTTTGCCAGGATGGTCCCCAGATGCTACCTGAAAAATTTCGTGGAAATTGCATTTTCTTGATAGTAGCGCCACCTAGTGGCCAACCCTAAATCGGCTAGTGGTTGTCTGAGGTAGGAACCAGAGGGCAGTAGCAATTTTCTGTTATGCTTAAAGAGTAATAAAATAACTGACTTGTCATAATTCGTGCATGAAAGTGTTAATCTACCCTGTTCCCTAGTAAATGGTAAATGGTTAAGATGTATAATAAAAGCTCTGTACACTTACATCAGTAAACTCTTTAATGCTGATACTGTTGGCCTGCTTTGCTACTTTCCTCTTCACTTCCTCCAAAGCAGAAATGTTGGGCTGAGCTAGAACAGGAGGTGGCTTGTTGGTACTGGAAGGCAGTGAGAGCAGTGAAGACAGAGTGCCCATGTTAGACAAAGCTGCTGTCATGGTGGCTATAAGTAAGATAGAAACACAGAGAAAGAGAACAAGAGAGGAGCCAATTAAAAACAAGTATAATTGCTTATTTAAGTAAGAGTCAAGCTTGTCAACTGTTTGTCTGACCTACATAGTAACTTAAAATAGTATATTTGAACTACATATTTCCTCAAATTCTTAACACCTAGGCTAAGATAGAGGTGTAATAATTGTATGTTTGTAAATAAACATAAATAAAACACACACATTGGGATTCAATTAAGGAATAGGATATACATTAGGGGTGTTAGTGGTGGAGAGACACACAGTCACCATGCCACTGCAAGTGCAACAAAGCCCTACAGCTTCCAAAATTACCATAAAGTTGATGTCTGTACACCATAGTAATATTAACGTTACATAAACAGGGACTTTTTATTTCTATTGCGCATTTACTATTGCTCTATTGCTTTAATAAAACAAAAGTATTTCATGTCCAATTACTCGATTAATTGATGTAATAAACTGTAGAATACTTGATTACTTAATTAAGCTGCAGACCTATAAACAGTATTTTTTGTATTTTAAAAAGAAGTTCATAACCTGTAGTTTATGTATACTTGAGGGTAAGAAAGGTTGAGATGTAGTCAGCAAAATAATTCAATATTCATAGCTGAGCTAACCCCCAACACAACTGTTAACAAAAATTAACAACAGGTCTGACTCAATTAAAGTTTCAAATAAACTGTGCAAAACTGCATATTTTGTTTTCTTTGTAAAAGTGAAACTAAAAATATAACCCTGTCAACTACAGAAAATGGCCTCAAACCTCTTGTCATTTCTATCTTCTTACCTTTTTTCATTTTCCAACTAAAGGAAGCCAAAAAGCTGCCACACCTCCAATTTTAAACAGGATAATGCATCCTAAATGTCAACTTCTCTATTCACCATTTCGTAACATGTCTTAATATACTTTTGACTGTATAACTGAGGTGAGTGATAAGACATCAAAAGTCAAAAGCAGATAGCGCCCTCTGCTGTTTAAAAAGAGTATCACAATTCATTTTTCATCTTACCTATTTGATTCTTCATATTTGTATTGTGATTTAACTGTCTCACAATATATTGTTACATCCTTGAATTACTTTTTACAATATGTGCAAAAAATTGGTTATTGGTTCAGAAATTGTATTACATTATTGGCAAATAATAAATATTACATTGAATTGGGGATGACCAAAATGACTGGACAATGCAGTTGATGGATCAGTAATTTTAAAAAAAAACATCATGCATTAAGGAAACAAGATTCAAAATCATACCAGCAGTCATACTGGCCATAGCAGCATTCATGGCCATACTTGGAAGAGCCAGGGGAAGGACTGTGGACCTCAGGCTTGCAGGGATGGGCATACCTGCTTTGGCACACATGGCAGCAGCATTGGCCTTGGCAATTTCCAACAACTGGTCCTTATCTGAGCAAACACAACGAATAAACATAAATATAATAAAGGAATCAATTAATTAAATGGATGTGTTGATGCAATACCTGTTTTTAGGACATTTTCTATGATGTTCCACATTTAAAAATCTACTTATAAATCAACTTAATTATTTCTAGACTATATACCTGTTGATAGAGTTTTTGGAAGACTGAGCAGTTGCTGCACACTTACCAGACTAAACAATGTAACACAAAAACTACATTAAAATGCAGTGGTTAATGTTACACATCTCCTGAGAAACATGGTGCTTTTCCTTTGTTTAGCCTGGCGGTTTGCAAAAACTGAAATCTTTCCAAATATACTGTGCAGTTGTTTATACAACAGCTCTATACCATTGCAGCAATGCTTTAGCAGTTTTTCATTTCTTGTGGATGCATAGAAGCACGTGTAAAGTTTTCCACTCGAGCATGTACCTATTCTTTAACCGATTTAACTGTCTCATGATTATAATGATGATAATGTCAAAATGTAAATAAAACAGCAGTTAGTGTATAACATTCAAATTTCCTATTATCTGACCCAGTTCACTGATGCGTTGAGGGCTGTTGCTCAAACTGCAGTGTTTCCGGGTGGGGGATCTATTTTTGCGAAGGATGAGTACAGGGGAGTGACTTGGTTCTCGTTTCCAACGGTCTCTCTGGCTATATGTAGCCCTCCTCCGACCCTGTGACACTGACCGTGACCTCCGTGATCTCCAGCCCCCTGACCTGCACAGAAAACATATAGTTCAATTCATTTACAGTGAAGCAACTGTTAAAACATATCTGCGGGCAAATTGGAGATCACACACACATTTTCTGGGATTGTCCTAAACTGAAAATGTACTGGGAGGGGATCCGGGCAGAACTTTCTAACATCTTACAAACTAACATAAAGAATGACCCGCTGATCTTTGTTCTTGGAGTGCTTCCCTACGACTTTTTATGTAAAGAAAAAATGTACCTACTCAAAATCCTCATAGTGGTGGCAAAAAAGATGATAACTATGTCCTGGTGCAAGCCATTACCCCCGACTGTAGACCAATGGAAAGAGCGACAGAGCGACAATAAGTATAAAAATACCACTGAAATAATACGAATAAATAAATAAAATACCATAAATTCCGATCACTATAGTGATATAAAACATGAACAGACTTTGAGTGGTATACCTTAACATTATAGATGAGTGGATTCTTATGATCATAAAGACCATAAAACACACAAAATAAAAACTTATCACACCTTTACCTCATTCGATCTGGTCGCAGGCTGCTAGATGCCTAACTACATGTCTATCACTCGACCTACCACGCCTACCGACGTGCACCTCTGTAAATATACTTTGATATAATGTTCAAACAGTTGAAGATAAATAAGTCGGGTGCTATCCACCTCTCTTGATAAGATGGAAACCTGTACTCTCTGTTATTGAAAGACATCACTCTTCACTCAAAAACGAATTTAATGCACACTGTGACAAATTCACAACTATAATCACAACCATTCACTCAAGCGCCGATGATCCACAAGTCCCATCTAAAACAAGACAACTATCCAAGATCATCACACATCATCGACCAACACCGAGGCTCGTGCATCAACGGAGCAATGTTGGGGGAAGTTCAATATTGCTCAAGGCATTAATCTCTCACATCGATACACGCACCAACGAACGACCATCTCCCGCCCTTCAACTTCCGAATGGGGGACAACCGCCTGCCTCTGAGCACAGCCGCCCCTCAATAATTAAGGCCATGGTCCAGAGGTTGAGCTTTGCCGTTATTGTTTTCCATTATATATAACCACTGATTACAGTCGTCGT